AACCAACACGTGGACGACATGATGAAGCGTGGCATCATCGAGCCATTCAACAATCTCTGAGCTTCACCGGTAGTTTTCGTTAACAAAAAAAGAACGGGTTAATCGGGTTCTGCGTGGACTACCGCAAGCTTAACAAAATTACGCGTGAAGACGTGTACCCTCTATTATTGATGCACTACAGCCTTGCTGAAGGACTGTCGCATCATGCATCGCCCTACCATGAGTTATAAACCCGAAACTAATGGGACAACGGAGAATTTACCCTTGGCGACATGTTGTCCATGTACGCTTCATCTGACCACACCGATTGGGACAGCATACTACCTTTCGTCATGTACGCATACAACATGTCAACGCAAAGCGCCACCGGATTCTCACCTTTCTTTCTTCTTTATGGACATGAACCTTCTTCCACAGTGGGCACAATCCACGCGTACTAGCCTGACTCTTCCGAGTTCTCAACCGTTTCAAGAGCAGGTGCACATGCCGAAGAATGTCACCAGCTTGCTCGTTCGTTCACATCGCACGACCAAAGTCGTCAGAAGCATCGCCACGACGAATCTACTACTGCGAAAGACGTTGAGACCAGTTCACTAGTTTAATGGGGTCTTCTACTCCTACAGGACTCTTCCGCAAGCTACCTTCGAAGTACTGCGGCCCTTTTCGAATTCTGCAGCAGACTTCTCCTGTCAATCACCTCGTGGAGCCATTCTACACGTCTACGGAGAAGCGTCGCCGCCAACAAGTAATTATGCACGTTTCTATGATCTTCTTGTGGGCTCCACCCCTTAATTCGCCAGGATTTCTCCCTTATTGCTCGGGAGTGAGTGTAATGTAGGTAGTGGACATGCAGTTTAAACAAATGACATGCTGGTTGGCCAAGGGTGTAGACAAGCACGGCGAAGAGCGACCGCTATCAGCGTTGCTAGTTGGGCATTGCGGTTGTAAAACCTGCAGCCGGTTGTCGCCCCTCCTGCATTTAAAGCACCCTCGTTTGAATGGTTTTGAAAATTCCCTCGTCAATACAACACCAGTCTGCCATAGACAAGGCATCGAGAGTTTCGAATTATACGCATGAAGAATTAAGTAAACACCAGCCACATTCTCGCCCCACGCACCGTTTCTTCCGACGTCCCAAAGGGCAGTGTTCACTGTTACGAGTCTCGTCTTGAAAGATATTGTGGCAGCCGATCCCCGCATTCGCATGGAGAACACTTAAGCCGACCCTTATTTATTGTTCAATTCAATTACCAACAACTTACCTCAATTACCAATGAATGCCTTCACTCGCAGTCTAATACACCTCGAAAGAAATTGTTCAAAAGCGCAGTATTTTAAAACACTCAAAAATTTTCAAGAATTGCAGAAAGCACAGTTGTAAAGCAGGCGCTAAAGTGAGCAATAAACAAATAAAAAAACGTTTGCCTGGAGAGCCCCTATATAGCAGGCAAACATTGCATGCTGTTTATCTGAAACAGCATGACTATACCTATTTTTCCAAGTCGCACTCAAAAAGCACGCGTTTTAATGCTAATGCAAAACGGAAGTATGACAGAATTTCAATGCGCCGAAGCTTTAGATGGTGCTCATTTTTCAGTAATATTTTTCGGTCATCTTTTTTCCCTACACGCTTACACTTGCTTCATTACAAACTCCCAGGACTTCCTTCTTCTGGTTGCTCACGATTATTGCTACCCCGCTTTGTTTCAAAAGCTCTGCAACCATGCTCATATACCTTTAGTCGGCTCAATCAAGCTGTACAGAAATAATTATTCTCTTTGAAAATTGTTTCATTTTTTAGTTTTGTAAACGAAAACAGCAATACGTAGGTCACAAGTATACACAAGACAATAAAAACAGCGCTGTTCCCATGCCTTTTTTTCTTTGCTATCGTGTGTCTGACAGAGTTTCTTTATTTTATTTCATAATGTAATTATGTTGCACAATCTCAAGCAAGCTTCCTTTTTAAAATTCTCTTGAGTTTTCAAATCGCACGGTAAACCGTTTTGTTTATTTTTATTTTACATAGAAGCTTTGTCAGCGAGAACAGTTGTTTTACATAATACTTGGCGATCGTATGTCGACAAAGGAACCATAACATACAGCGTATTTGAATGTGTCCAATAATTGTATAACTGGTAGGTTTTAGCGCCCCAAAATCATGACATCATTATGACAGACGCCATAGTGGAGGGCTTCAGAAATTTCTACCACTTGGGCTTTTTTTTTACGTGTGATTAAGCCTAAGCGCACGGGCCTCAAGCATGCTCACCACCGTCCAAAACGCAGCCGCCGTGGCTGGAATCATAAGCCGTGACCTGAGGGTCAGCTGTCAAGCCCTATGACCACTAAACCACTGGAAGGGGCGTCCAGAAATCGAAACAAAAAAAACTTGGACACTTCACCTTCACCACCAACAGAAGAACGCGATGGCGAAGTCGTGCACCGCCTGCATCGCCTTCGGGAGTTCTAGCCTTGCTTTTGTTCTCAGTACATAGATGCATCAATCATTCTGGAATACCTACTGCAAGTACAGTTGCGAAGTGTGCATCACACCATAATTCTCCAGTCTGCGAATCAGCGTGGCGCGGCGGCTGCACTTTAGATGGGGAGGAAAATGTTCGAGGCCCGTGTACTTAATTCTAAGTGAACATCAACAAACCTCATGTAGTCCGAATTTGCGGAGCCCTCCACTAGGCATCTCTCATGTACCAGATAGGAATTTCGGGATGCTATGCTCCAACAAATAAACTTTAAGAAAAAATTTGCGAATCAGTGAAGAGCTCATTGCGCGTCCATATGACAACACGTGAGCTTACGAAGCTACTTACTTTGTTCAGGCTTTTGCAGAGGTACAAAAAATTCGGGACGCTTAAGCTTCGCCTTTAGGAGTTGAATACCATAGCAATATCCTGTTCCTAGTGCGTACTTCAACCACTACGTGCACACGTTTGATTGTATGACGTGAATCGAGAAGTTTAAATTTTGGGTTACTACTACAATGAAATCCATAAAGATCAATGTGGCTTGTGTTGGTGAAGCTTTCGCATATGGCTGCATTCTGTGAAATGGGCAGCATGCTTTAAAAAAGCTCGGCCAGTGATGTGCTTGAAATTTTTTTGTAAATGTTTGTACACCTTGAAGTATAAAACTGCAACTGCATTCATATGTCATGCAACAGCACGAAAGGATATCAAATCAGAAAATGCAGTACTTTGCATAGCTAGATGTCCGATAATGCAACGTCATGTTAACGTCAATGAACCTATTGCGTAGTCTGGGAACAGTAACTTGTGCGCCACTGCCTTTTTTGACAGCTGGCCGGTTTAAAACCACGAAGTCGTCATTATAATCAATTGTTCTGACGCCTGATGGCAACGCACGCTTGAACAATGGAATAATGCTGCAATATATTATTGTTATTGTGAAACTTGTATCCAGGACTCGTGGTTTGTAAAGTATGAATGTTATTTTTACTTCAATTATACACTTCTGCAACGTAATATCACTTGTGGTAAGAAGATTCCTCTCACTACATGGCATTCATGTGGCGGTTTTTTGACAGTTGAAAGCAATGACATAGCTTTGTGGTACATCAGCTGCTTGCCGCACAGCAGTCCGGGTTTGATTCTTACGTTACCGAAGATATCAGCACTTATTTTATTTCCATCTTTTTCGATATCACGTTGACGGCTGGTTTCTCGCTCGCGACCAACGATGCCAATGCCAACACCAACTCGGTAATTTCTGCGGAACAAGCTCTTAAATGCTATCGCGTTAAGGAAGGAAAATAGGAGGAAAAGAACAGCAAGGAGGGTAACCAGTCTCTAGGTAGCTGGTTCGCTACCCTGCACTTGGGAGGGAGATGAGGGAGATGAAAGATAGAGAGAAGAGAGGGAAGAGATAAACACGGCACATTGAGCGGCACACGCGTGCCCACTCAGTCATAGCTATCACAACTTACCACCATTTTAGCACACCTTACCAAAATAGCTGGTGGGTCCTGCTGAGTTCATAATTGACCCATTGTGCAGTTTAAGCAGTTTTTGAGCAGCACTAATGCCTCATATTATGCTCTAATGAAGGGATATGATGGTGTGTCGCGTAGCTGAGGCTAAAATGATAGCGTTTGAACACTATTTTATGTCAGTTCATGGTATTGTTCTGCGGTTGGTAAAGCTTTGACTATTTGATTAAATGGATACATGCTATATCGGGAAAGCCTGCAACCAAGATGTTGCTTCAAGAAGTTGAGCGCCGTACAGGACGCCAACGTTTTCGTTATTCCTGCATAGACCGACCCAATCGAGTGATGCTTCTAACGATAGCCAGAAATTATGGGGTTATCAATTATTTATTTATTTATAAGTACTTATAGACCCCTATATAATAGATAATAAAAACTATAAGGCTACTAAATTTCTTGCACACATATAGGGAGTAGTAAGCTGTAGGTAGTTGTAAATTCTAAAATAATACCCTCTAAAATCATCATTATACCAGTCTAAAATATCACGTTATCTTACTTTGGAGTAGTGTGATACAAAATTCTAGGTACTGATGTGACTTTGGTGAACGATGTTGTAATATTTTATTGTTGATGTGTTGGTATGTTGGTGCTGCTTATAATTTGGCTTATACCCTCAAAACAGCAAGTGGGTTTTTTTCATGGTGACATGTATATTATCGTTCAGTAAAATGAATAATTGTCAGGCTAAGTATATATTGTGATTCGAATGGTTCACTCGATACGGTAGACAAACAACACATGTGCTTAAAAACATCGTTTTTTTAATCTCAAGGTATCTAGCTACTTAAAGTATTTACTGACTTTGTTTAGAAGAAAGATTTGGTTCCTCATTGTATGTGTGACATGACTCTTTCTAATGCTGCCGTCAACGAAAAGGCGGTGCAAGATTGTCAACAATAACGTAAGCCTAACATGGCCCGAACAACGGTTCCCTGCTACATTTGAACTTCATAACACCTGAAGAACTTACCCAGACGAGTAGATTGCAAGTGATGAGAATGTACTTGACACAAGCAACCCCTTCATCCATGGCTGCTCAGTTTGATGGGTGCACGGTGCAGCTCAAATTTCACACCACAAAATAGATGCCCACACACCAGATTGTCTTCGCGGAGAGCGTCGCCGGGCGAGGAATGTAGATTACGCTGGGGCGGTGGCCCGTGCGACGCCAGTCGACAGGTGAGCAAGCCCCGGCGTTTGAGAATGCTTTCCGTTAGAACTGACTAGGCCGTTATCGCTGACAGCGAAATGCGGTGTCCGGCGGTGAGGGTAAAGTGCGTATACATAGGGGAAGAACCGAGAGGGAAGGACAGCATCAAGGAGGACTTCCTCCTCGTCTCGAGCAGAGTTTATGGCAAGCAAGCGGCGACCCTTACTCACGCCGTGTTCGCTATCTCGAAGCCGGGGCTGAAGTCCACCGCTTCAGCGAGCGCTGCAGCCGCTTGTACGTGCCAAGCTGAGTGCGTGTCCGTATCTGTAGGCGTCAGTGTTTGCCTCCTGTTACAAAACAGACGGAGGGGCACAAAGAAAATAAGAATGGTGGCTGCTGACGGATCGTATGGGGGATTACGCAGGCACTGCTAAGCCCTCGGGAGGCGTGTTTCTAACTTTGTGGACGCAACGAAGTGAGATGTACGGAGGGAAACTTGAATCGCTATAAGAAAGGTCGCCTCAGTCAGTGTTTTTCTCTACAAAATTATTAGCGCTATCTTTTTCCGTAAACAACGATGAAATTTGAAAAGCAGACAAGCTTTAGTGTCATGACCTCATCCACCAAAATTTAGCGATTCTTGATTCACTACAAACGTTGTCCTGACCTAATATTAATAATAGTACGATATCAAAGATCAGGTGAGCCACAGTGTTCCTTTACTTAATGAAAATAAGTTTCACACCTCAACGAGAAAAGAAGCAAAAACTCATCTATATAAGAATTACGTCACAACTCATTCATGCTCGGTGCATCGCCACCAATCGAATAATTTGAAGCAGATTCACAAGGCCAAATAAAGTAAAAGTACAAGCATGTATAGCGCGTCTAGTGACACACGAAAGAGAACTACGTTGGATTTCTCCTACTTTCTCTCCGGATCCTTAGTTTTCTTGACGTAACACAGCTCTCCTCGCTTCATTTTCGCATCGTAGACGTAGCTGTCGCAGTTCGCAGACATTTTGCACCCATTTTACTCTTAACAAAATCAGGAGATAAACTTTGTCAATTATCCTGAAATCAACGATTTCCGTCACTTAGTTGTAAACCTTAACATGCATATCATAAAATTTCCAATCAAGAAAACAAGCGCTTTGTTTTTTAATAAAAGTTTGCTGAGTATACGTTATTCAAACGCTGAACAAACCTTAGGTCTCAACAGATTAATTATGACAGCTTGGCAGCGAAACGGTGGGGTTTGCGCTGCAGCATGTACAACACGTACAGAGACTGTACAATTGTTTACGGAATACGACAAAGTGTACTATGCGCTTTCGTGTTAATCTGTCATTTTTCAGAGCATCTTTTTTTTCACGGTAAGGATACACTCAGATTCTTTTGGTTTCTAGATCTGGAATTGTGTTTTACCGTCATGGAACGAATCCATGCTCAGATCAGTACGGGGTTTCCAAAGGCGAATATACAAACTTATGGTGTGGTGTTACACACCATCATAACGCCTTCTTTAAAATCTTGGATGAATAAAAACTGCATAAGATATTGGATTTCCACTGATTTTATATTCTTATCAGGTTCAGTACTGTCACTTGGGAAATTGTTACATCCAATGAGCATGGTAGTCAATCGCAATGGCGTAGCAACGACCACGGCGCTCAGAAGCTGACTCCTACGACGCGGTATCAATCCGGCCGTGGCGACCCTGTTTCAGCGATGAAGATTTCCTAGAGCCACGTGCATTTGAATTTAGGTGCCCGTTAGAGAACTACGGGGACCAAAATTTACTATAACCCTCCCGTATGGCAATCCTCACAATCATAACATGGTTGCAAGTCGTAACCTAGCAGCAATTATTATTGCTATTAGTAGACGTAGTTGAACTCTGTGAAGCGATGCCCTCTTGCAACACCTATTTAAATTTTTTATAACTGATCATCTTGTGCAAACTGTTCAGAAAAAGACGTTAATGGCCTCGACCAACGAACAAGCATTGCGCTGAATCATCACAACACGGCAAGTACACACAGTGCACACCCATTCTGTTTTCAACTAGACAATATGAATGGCGTGAAGCACATTTTGCAAACACTCTCAAATTATGACAGGTAGATTGCCACTATCCCTGAAAAGGAAGGTATATAACAGCTGTATCTTGCCGGCACTTAGCTACGAAGCAGAAACCTGGAGGCTTACAAAGAGGGTTCAGCTTAAATTGAGGGCGATGCAGTAAGCGATGAAAAGAAAATGATATGTGTAACCTTAAGAGACAGGAAGAGAGCAGAGTGCGTTAGGGAACAAACTGGGGTTGAAATCAAGAAGAAAACAACATGGGCCGAGCATGTAGCGCGTAGGCAGTATAACCACTGGTCATTAAGGATAACTGACTGCATTCCCAGAGACGGCAGGTTGGTTAGGGGAGAGAGAAAGTTTAGGTGGGCAGATGAGATTAGGAAGTTTGCGGGTATTAAGTGGCAGCAGCAAGCACAGGACCGAGTTGACCGGCGAAACATGGGAGAGACCTTTGTCCTGAAATTGGTGTAATCAGGAGGATGATGATGGTGGTGATAGTGGTGGTGATGATGAGGACGACGATGATGATAATGATGATGATGATTTCATCTGGTTCTATTGGAGGGCTCTCAGACCCTTCGTAACCATGTACAATCCTAATTACGGGCTAAGTAAGATGGTCACGCATATGCACTCAAACAGGAATGTGTGAAAGCATTGAAGCATTGCTGAAGAAGAATTTATGAGCTTGTAGACTGATGTCGAGCAAATTTTGCAGCCTTTGTGTGTAATGCGAACCGCAAATATTCCTCCCAGTCCTATAAATATGAGCTTTCATATGCTAGAATAGGTATTCAAAGTGGAAGTGGGTGAAAACGCGCCTGCGTCTAACTTCTGAATATAGGCATATGCGCACTGTGTTTACTCTAAGGTCATTATTCAGACTTATTTAACTAAGTGGGAAATTTGACAAAGCTCATCCTGGGCCACTTTGGCATTACTGATAGCTGCTATGATTTGTTAGCGAGAACACGGAGAACGAAAACGTCTGAAGAAGTGTATTAGATAGAAAACGCTTGCGTGAATGCGATACAGCCCTTCCAAGTGCGGCCGATCGATGCCCTCCTGCTTACAGTGGCGCCTATTGTGGGTAGTTTTGTTCCCAAATGAAACTTTCGCAGGAGTTTTATGACCAGAAGAAAAGTATTAAAGTACCATGCTAGTGGTGAGGTCGAGGAATTGTCTGAACGAGGCCGCTTATATACTGGAATCAGTTCAGGCAAAACTGAGTCCCTCGACGCTGACCCCTGAGTTGGCGGAAGGAGATACCTTCGGGTATCTGGACTTGCGGCTAAGCTTCCAGGGTTCTTATGTGTGCTGGAAGCACGAGCCGCGTGCAAGTAAACCTTTGCTTCCCTTCTCTTTGAGTCACTCAAAACTTGTGAAAAAGGAGTAGCAAGCACATGCCTAAAGAATGTTTTGCAGAAGTCTTGCCATCATTTGGTACAACAAAGCTTCCAAGCCCAACTTGGTTGTCTTCAGCAGGCTGGGTATCTAGAGTGCATCACTAGGTCAGTGGCTAAATCTCTATTGAAATCAGTCAATAAGTCGCAAAAGGAGCAAGAGCTGCAAAACGTTTTGGATGAAAAGAAGAAGTTTCGCAGGACTGTGGCGATACCATACTTTCACGACGTCTCCCATTGTCTAAAAAAGATCGGGGGCTGTGTCGAAGTGAAAGAGGTTTTCACTGCACCCGAAAAGTTGTCGTCTCTTAGCGAAATATAAAATTGTGAATCAAACAGGTGCGTGCATGACTAACCACAGAAACAAATTTGTGAATTGTCTTTTAAAAATGGTGTACGTAATTCCACTCACATGTGAAAAGAAATACGTAGGCCAGACGGGCAGGTGCCTAAACAAAAGACTGCGGAAGCACTACAACAATGTGTGCAACTCGGTACAAGGTCACCTAGGCTTGCATTGTCGAGATTGCGGATGCCAGCCAGACTGCCGTAAAACTAGGCGGTAGCTAAGCACGATAATCAGTTTACGCGCGAAATAATTCAGGCATCCGAGATTATCCGCCTTGAAGATGGCTGCGTTAGTATGGCTTCTTTGGCACTGACGCAGAAAAAAATGATGTATTTTAACTCATAATGCAATATGTGTGATAGATGCGTGTTACCTTGGCATGACTGGTGTTTGGATTGTACTGTATAAAAAACTTTTTGTGATTCATTTTTTAAACCGTTTTTGTAACCATGAAACGCGATTGCATAAAAGCATTATATGTCTGTCTAGTAAAGTCATTTAAAAGTTTGCGCTTGTGTCCGTCTAGTCCTTCATCCCAAGTTTCGTGATTTCAGCAGTGTGCAATAAGGTAAAAATGTTTAGTTACCGATTCGCCCAAGCATGTACCATTCAAAGAGAAACTTTGCATTAAGCCAAGATCAGCCACAGGCTTTTATTTCAAGGTATGATTACATCATCATCATCAGCCTGACCACGTCCACTTTCGGACAAAGGCCTCTCCCATGTTCCGCCAGTTAACTCGGTCCTGTGCTTTCTGCTGGCAATTTATACACGCAAACTTCTTAATCTCATTTGCCCACCTAACTTCCTGTCTCCTCCTAACCCACTCGCCTTCTCTGGGAGTCTAGTTAGTTACCCGCGGTTATCCTGTCTACGCGATACATGCCCGGCCCATATCCATTTCCTCTCCTTAATTTCAACTATGATATCCTTAACCCCTGTTTGTTGTCTAATCCACTCTGCTCTCTTCTTGTCTTTCAAAGTTACACCTACCATTTTTCTCTCTATTGCTCTCCGCGTCTTCCTCAATTTAAGCTAAACCCTCTTTGTAAGCCTCCAGGGTTTTGCTCCGTTGCTAAGTACCGGCAAGATACAGCTGTTATGTACCTTCCTCTTGAGGGATAGGGGCAATCTATCTGTCATAATTTGAGACTTCTTGCCAAATGTGATCCACCCCATTCTTATTCTTCTAGTTACTTCAATGTCATGGTTCGGCTCCGCGGTTATTACCTGCCCTAAGTAGACACAGTCTTTTACAACTTGAAGTGCACTAT